AAGGCAATAATACACTGATTCACAAATGCTGCCTATTCATGCACTACATTGCATGTTTAGGAGTTTCACTGAACCTGAAACTATGACTCATCTTTTTGTAAAATCATACAATGGGAAAAAAGATTATAAAAATCTCTACACTCGCTTGACACAGTGCTGGAAGTATTGATCTTCACTTTGAAGGCAGAGAAAGGCTACTGATTGAATATAACATCATTTCTCTGTTCACTTTGATGTTACGAGTCATGACTGACACCTTTATCATTAGTGCCTCAGTATTCCTGACAACAACCATATCTGGGTTTACTTCATTTATATTCAACACATCTTTAGTCTGTTCATCGAAATGACGGTTCTCAACCAACACTGCGTTCACTTTGAAGTACGAGCCTATACGTGTGCACGTGTTTGTCTGTGTGTGATTGTGCCTTAAGACCTGTTGCCAGGATACTACCTAAGCCTAGTAAGCCAGTTAATTAATGATGATGCACACTCCCTTGCTGCAGAGCAGAACCCAGCAACAGAACAATTAAATCAAACATTTTCACCTCTTTGTCTTCATCTACCACCAGAAGAGCTGCTGCTCTCCTCGTATTCCTCAAGATTTCCAACAACCAGTTTAGATATGCTGAGATAACTTCCTAGAAGAGGCCTAATAGCACTGTACTTTAAAGAGACAATTTGATTTTTTTTTATTTCCCTTTCCTGTAGCAAAGAAGCACAAACACACAGGCTTAATGAGAAAATATGATTCTGTTTTTGTATTTAGAGTCAAGCTTCAAGACAGAACGCCTACAGCCATGCTAGCAGGCCTGTGAGGCTAAGGCACAGCGGTGCTTTGAGCTGAATGCTAACGTCAGCAAGCTAACAATGACAGTGCTTTGCTGGTGTTTAGTAAGTTTACTGTAACGTTACGTTCACTGTCTTGGTTTAGAATGTTAACAGGCTAATATTGGCTAATTAGGTTCAGCTGAGGCTGATGGGAATGTCATTAGTTTTGGAGGTAGAAAGTGTCAATTCACCTAAGATACTTTGAAGAATATCCTAAAATAAATTAAAACTTTGACCTACTGGTAGCGAAATGAAATGACATCTTAGTTTAGTCAGTAGGATTCATTCTCTGGGGAACATGGATTCCTTGGGAAGAACATTTTGATGGTATTTTATCCAAAGCTGTTTGAATTAATTTGGAAACAAAGCAGAGAAACAAACCAACCAACAGGGCGATCATCCAGAGAGGCATGCTGGGTAGCATAGCATAAACAAGCTGGTTACCAACTTTTACTTCCGATGTGCACCTATGCCTTTCTCACACACACACACACAAATCACACACACACACACACAACACACACAAACACACACAGAAGACATTGAGAGTCTCCCAATATAACCCACCAAACAACAACCCTACCAAACACTTTTTGGAGCCCTGCTTTCAAACAACACACACACCACACACACACACCCACACACACACACACACACACACACACACACACACACTCGGGCAGATTAGTGCAGAATCTGCTGACGGTTGGGGCAGGAAATGCTGCCTCACAACAAACACCAAGAATACCATCTTAAGCCGTCTTTGTTACGGCACAGTCTGTAGATTTGGGATGTTGGAGTGTTACTTTTAGAGAGGCTGTACAAAATCCACATTCATCTTCTACCACACAACCAGGAGAGCGGGGGAGGGAGAAAAAGAGAGGAGTAAATCCTCCTCTGGAGCAAAGGGAGGAAAGGAGAGGGAAATGGCAGAGTGATAAAGAGAAAAAGGAGATAGAAGGCATCAAAATATAATGTGAGTTACTGAATGATGCCTGCGATATTTCTTTCTGATGGATTTACATAATCACATAATTTATCCGAGGTTTCTCTCAGGGGAAGAGAGGCGGCTTGTGTATTCGTGTGTGTGTGTGTTTGGACACTTGGATCAGTTCCGAGTTTAATTCGTGGAGATGCGAGGTGAACGGTAATTTGTACTGCATGTCAGCCGCTGACAGCTGCAGCGGCCCTTTGGCTCACTCTACCACATCGCCTCGTTTATTGGCCAAAAACCCGGCAGGGCGGTGTGATTCACCGCCAACAGGTAAACCTGCTGGTAATATAGGCCTCGTGCAGTCTGCAGCCTCTGAGTCTGCACGGCTCTGCGTCATCTTTTGTCACCAAAATCACCTCTCCAGGAAGTGACTGCGGCTGGCTGCGTGTCTGCTCAGCTAAAGAGTTACAGCAGGGGTGCGGGATGACTGTAAGCCTTTGGTATGGGGCGAGGAAGACCAAGATATCTGTAGGATTAGTCTCTGTTGGCCCACACGACTCAAGCTCACACAAAATGGTGAGACAGATCCATTGATATGCACAAGAATGAGGTGAAACATGTCTGTGTGTCTCTGAGTGTGTGTGTGTGTGTGTGTGTGAGGAGGAGGTACAGCCAGGCCTGGGCTCATCACTGATTGCTCTGTGCAGGATGTAAAGATTACGCCTTCTCTTGCTGTGATCGTGATGATGAAATCCCACAATACCAGTCATCACACAGAGATCCTTAACGACGTCCCACAGTGGCCACACACACACACACACACACACACACACATATAAACCACATACACACCCGCGCGAGTGCACACACAGGTTGAGGATTCGTTGCCACCTTCCTCATTAGCTGAGTTCACCAACATGGCAGGAAGCTCAACATAAAGGTTTCAGGGTTCAACGAAAACTACATTCACATGCAGAAAGATCAGTTAGCAATTTAAGGTCGCGTCACTGCAGGATATCAGAGGGTCGTGTAAACAATTTAACCAAAATGAGATCGAAACTTGAACATGGATACACAGCACTAAACCAGTTGTAGCAAATATTCCCCTTTCACCATGCACCACAAGGACTATTTAACACTCACACACATTGAGCCAGAGAGGGAGAACTCTTTCCTCCTCTAAAATTAGGGATATATTAGTTTAACAGAGTCTTAAAGCTATACAAAGCAACCTTTTGTGTGCAAATACACTCATCTAATAAACTAAATCACAGATCAGAGCTGTGAAAAGCATCCCACCTAACTGAGTCTGTTGATTCATCTTATTTACCCAAAGCCAAGCTCCCAGACACTTCCCCATACACCACATGCTGCGTTTTCTCCTATTAAAACCAAATGTAAAACCAAAGAGTGTGAAGAATATATTTTTCCAGCCCAGTTCAATCTGTGAGGATTTTAAACGTGTTTAACAACGTTTTCTGCAGTTTAGAGCTCTTTACAAAGAGTGAGTCACTTCCATCGCCAGAGTCTCCAGATGGGCAGCTGGTCTCAGCCACATTATCTGGTTCTTGGCACCACTGTGTGGATGGTTCTCTTCTGCTAGTAAGATATGTTTCCAAACCCTGACTCAGCAAAGGTTACAGTACTAAACCTCTGCCCACCAGCATCATTTGCCCTGAACCTCATCTTACTGTTGCCTCGCTTTATATTTTTCCAATTTAGAGTTTCTGTTGATGCTTGGTGCAAACCTAAAATACAAACATATCATCTCAAGAAAAATAACAGTTTAAAGTCTTATAACAAGTAGAACTGAACCCAAAATCTAAAAATCTTGGGTAAGTACCATTAGCTAGAAACAGGCAGGTTAATGGTCTAATGGTTAATGGTTAAGGGTTAATGGTTAGATATAGTTATGTTATGTTATGTGATTTAGGTGAGATTGGAAATGTGGCTCATATCATGTTTTATCTTTTTGATAAAATAGCTATTATATTCATATATTAATTATAAAAAACAACAACCTTGAGCTGTGTTTAGGATGGGAACCTGTTTTGTGGTTTGCTCCTTGTTTGCAATGTTACATTACATTTATATTGCGTTTTATCCGGACTCCGAACTGCATGAAACAATAAATAATATAACTAACAAACTAACACTGCACTGATGATGTTTTCCTGAGTCTGTGTGCCAGGTGCACAAAGATGCATCAGGTTCGGTGAGATAACAGACGGTAAGACACTGCACAACTACAGCCTGACCATTTTGTCAAATCAGCTCGAGGCACCGATCAAGAATGTGCACTGACCTTTGCTCTCTGACCCCTGTGGTTACTTACCATTCCCCTGTAACTATACGCTCCCACACATACAGGCCCTAACACATGTCCTCTCTTTCTCTCCCTCACACACACACACA